CGCGCCCGGCACTCCCCCCGCCAAGCGTGCTCCCCCCGCAAGCGCCCGTGCACTATGTGCCCGGGACCAGGCCAGCCCCGAGCACCTGGCGGGCGCATTGAAATGCCCCCGCGGGCGCCATGGCGCCCGCGGGCACCGTGTTGGGGACCACGGTATTAGGCTGATGCCCATGATGCCTGGTGCATATTCATTAGAGGTTTCAGATCCTTTTTCCATATTTGAACTTCCACATTCCACAAATGTCAGAGTGCCTTTTTGTAAGTTATTAGGCCTTTTATTTCTAGCTTATTAGCACGTGTTTCTTGATTACCATGGTATTGTGTATATGTTCCTCTCTTGAAATCTCTCAACCTGGCATTAACAATTGTATCTTATGGTTATCAGCCAGCAGTTTAGTCATTACACTATTCTATCTTCTGATCAGAATGACAACAGTGGGTCAGATCAAAGACCTCTCTACCCCGCCCCCCCATATCCTGTCTGCTGACCATTGCCAATGCTAAAGTGCCCCAGAGGGAATTAACAGAACAGGGAATCAATGAGTGATCTATATTGGTCACTCATTCCCAGCTTCTGATCTAGACTAACTCTTGGTTAGCTCCCTATGCTAAGACCTTTTAGGCCTTGATTAATTTAGCTAAGTTATTGTTTTGCAGGCCATGAGGTTTGTATGCCTTACCTAGCAAATACTTACAGGCTACAACAACAGTAAGTAATTGCTTTTGATATTCTAAACTTGTCCCTTTTGGATTAATCCAGTCACATTGAACAAGGGCAACCTTGGAAGTATTGTAAATGTGTTAGGTACTAACTTATCGTAAGTTAATGTAACAAGAAGTATTATACATTGAAAATACAACGTTAACATACATTGTTTCTTGGTGTGCATGCTGAGCTTCAATTCTGCTGTCTGTGATAATGGCTTGCAAGGTGTTACTGTGTGTGCAGCACTCGTCTAGAACAGTGATCATGTCTACACTGGTGTGCTGAACTGTTGCCCTGATACTATTGTGGTTCTGGGTAAACTAATCATTGTTGGTTGATAGAAGAAAAAAAAGTTACCCATCCTGTAACTGGTGCTCTTTCAGGTATGTTTCTCATGTCCATTCCTCATTAGGTTTGTGCACTTGCCGCATGCACTGAATCACAGAATCATAGAATCACAGAGCTGGAAGAGACTTCAGGAGGTCATCAAGTCCAGCCCCCTGCCCAAGGCAGGACCAATCCCAACTTGTTGTAATTCCCTAGTTTATTGATAAGAAGGTCATGCAAGACTGTATCAAATGCTTTACTAAAGTCTAGGTATACCGTGCTCACCGTTTCTCCCTTATCCACAAGACTTGTTAATCTAATCAAAGAAAGCTATCAGATTGTTTGACATGATTTGATCTTTACAAGTCCATGCTGGCTATTACCTATCCCCTCATTATCTTCCAGATGTTTGTAGATGAATTCCTTGAGTATTTGCTCCATTATCTTCCCTGGCATCGAAGTTAATCTGACTGGTCTGTAGTTTCCTGGGTTGTCCTTATTTTCCTTTTTATAGATGGGCACTAGATTTCCCCTTTTCCAGCCTTCTGGAATTTTTCCCATCTTCCATGAATTTTCAAAGATGATAGCTAATAGCGCCAACACATCCTCAATCAGCTACTTGAGTATTCTAGGATGTGTTTCATCAGTCCTTGGTGACAAAGTCATCTAACTTTTCTAAGTAATTTTTAACTTGTTCTTTTCCTATCTGAACCTACCCCATTTTCTGTTCATTCCCTCTGAAGCACTTGGCATTGGTAACCATCAGGAGACAGGATGCTGGGCTAGACAATTGGTCTGACCCAGTGTGGCCATTCTTATGTTCTTAAATCATCTTTTTCCTGCAAAAGGTGGTCAGGCACCACTCAGCACCTCACACCTGGCCCTTACTGGCCTAGTTGAAGGAAGGCAAGAAATAGCAGATACTATTTCAGGGTTGTGCAATATGATCACCACGTAAGAAATAAGGCATGAACACAAGCAAGTGGCTTTTTGTGTTAATACCATGTGATTCTTAATGAAAGATGTTCAAACCTGATAAGGGTGAGTAAAGATCAGTGCCAGAGCATGGCAGCCTATTAACCGAATTCTGCTGTTTCCTGTGGTCACACAAATACCAGCAGCCAAGCTCCCTGCTCATCAGGATTCAATCAGTTGTCCAGCAAATGTCTTTATATTCACCCCTGAATTTGGATTTACCTCAGTCACCTTCCGCTCTACCTCAGCACCATCAACGTAGTAAACATCTGTAATAATACGTGTGACCACTGTGCGCACTTCACGGATGGTTCGCATGTGGCGATGCTGAACGCGGCTTTGGGATTGCGGGGGCAGGTTAAACTCCTCCTCTCCCTGCAATAACAAAACAAGCCAATAATATGAAAGCAAGCCACCCTACAGCACAAATATTTTTGTTCTGCAGTTCTGTGAAAACCACGTTACCAGGAGACAACATTAAACAAACTGTTTTAAACATCAAACTCTGACCAAATGGAGAATTTCCACCATGACTCCAGACACAAGCATCTCAACAACATTCTTGATTTTGGGCTGCTTCAAGACTGTTAAATTGGCAAGGAGTCCTGTGGCACCTTATAGGCTAACCGAAGTGTTGGAACATAAGCTTTTGTTGGCAAAGACCCACTTCGTCAGATGCATGTGACAAAGTGGGTCTTTGCCCACGAAAGCTTATGCTCCAACACTTCGGTTAGTCTATAAGATGCCACAGGACTCCTGGCCGCTTTTGCAGATTCAGACTAACACGACTACCCCTCTGATTCAAGACTGTTGTGCAGAAGCCTTCATTCTAAGTTGTTCAAAGTAACAAGAGCCCAATTTAACCTGTTACAGAGAACTCAGAGCTGGAAGGCCATGCTGTTGCTCAGGTGAGGCAGTTGGGTGAAATAATCCATTATCTGCCAGTGTCCCTCATATAACTTAGGCAACTGTTGCATGCAAATTAGTCGTAAATTGGTTGAGTTACTTCTGGTATTTCAATGGCCTAGGACCAGGGTCCCCCTCTAAGCTGCACACCTGAGCAGCTGCACACAAAAAATTTTAGGCCCGCCCAACTTGCCTGCAGAGCCACACAGCAGCACTCACAACCACTCACTTTCCTGCTGGACAGAAAGATGAGTGGTGGTGGTGATGGCGGTGGTGGCAGCCTGGCAGATTCTAGCGGGACCGCATGTTGCAAGCAGCTGGCCAACCCTGCCGCCATTTGCTATGGCTGGCGTCAGGGTACATTGAGGCTGTCCCTGACTGGGCAGCCTCAATAGCTCCAGTTCCAACTACAGAGACGGGACAGTTCCAGCTGCAGCCTGGCCAGGACCGGAACCGCGTGTCAAGCAGCAGCTGGTCGGGTGGCCCCAGCCAGGACCAGAACTGCCATGTGGCAGGAGGCAGTTGGTCAGGTAGCTGCAGGAGAAAGAAACACCACATGGCGGGGAGTGGCTGCGCAGGGAGCCACGGCGAGGACCGGAAAAAAGGTTACTTACCTCATTTGTTCTTCAAGATGTGTTGCTCATGTCCATTTGAATAACGTGTGCATGCACCATGTGCGCAGATTCTGGAGCTCTCCCCCCCAGCAGTACCCGTCGGGCCAGCAGGGAGCCCCCGGAGTGGCGCAGGTATATCTGTGCATAAATACCCCCACTGGCACTCCCCTCCCGCAGTTCTTCCTTGCTGGAGTTCTCCAACGAAGGGGACATAGGCAGGATTTCAAACGGACATGAGCAACACATCTCAAAGAACAACACTTACGAGGTATGTAACCGTTTTTTCTTTGAGTGATTGCTCATGTGCATTCAAATGAGGTTACTCCCTAGCAAAAATGTAGGAAGTGAGGTCGGAGATCAGTAAAGCTTATGCTGAGATCAACTGCAATACTGCCATGCCAAGAGTAGCGTCCTCCCTAGCCTGCTGAGCGATCGCGTAGTGCATTGTGAACGTGTGCACCGAAGACCACATGGCTGCCCTGCAAATGTCCAGTATGGGAACCTGCGCCAGGAAGGCCACTGATGAGGCATTCGCTTGAGTGGAATGGGCCATGATATGAGGCAGTGCTTTACCAACAAGGTCATAGCATTCCCTAATACAGGAAGTGATCCATGATGATAAACACTGGGCTGATACCAGCAGGCCCGTCATCTTCTCTGCTATCGAAATAAAGAGCTCTGGTGCTTTCCAAAACCCTCTTGTCCTGTCTAGGTAAAATGCCAGTGTGTGCTTGGCATCTAGCGAGCATAGGGCACTTTCCCTAGGTTTTGCATGGGGAAAAAATACTGGCAAGTAAATATCTTGTGAAACATGGAGACCACCTTAGGGAGGAAGGCAGGATGGGGGTGCAGTTGAACCTTATCTGTGAAAAAAACAGTATGGGGGGGCGGGGTCTACAGTCAGCACCCTCAACTCGGAAACCCTCCTAGCCGATGTAGTCGCCACTATAAAAGCAGATGTGCTCCCTATCCTGTTTCCAAAGTGTCATGACTAGCTGCTCCACCAAGCTCTGGCTCACGAAGGGGACCCCCCCCCCCACACACACCATGTCCTTCTGCAGCCGCCATTTGATGGAGTGGATGACCTGCTGGGGGACTGTGAGAATCCCATCCCACAGAGCACAGGCCTGGTTGTGAGCACGGGCCAACCAGGGTTGGGGAGGTCTGAGCCTCAGACAGGCATGACGAACCATGTAAGTACATGCTGCCATGTGACCAAGCAGCTTCAAGCAATTCCTCTCCATCGTGAGCGGCGAGATCATGAGGCCTCATATGATGATTTCCATAGCCACAAACCCGGCCTTGGGAAGTGAGGCAGTAGCTGTTGAGTCCAAGCAGGCGCCCACAAATTCTATCACTTGGGTGGGTGTCAGAGTAGATTTCTCCTCGTTTATGAGGAGACTAGGCCTGTGAAACTGACTTTCTATGAGGTCTGTGTGTTGCAACACCTGTCCCCTTGAGTGGCCCTGATGAGAGAATCGTTCAGATAGGGGAATACTTCAACTCTGCGCCTCCTCAGGAAAGCGACCATGGCAGCCATACACTTTGTGAAAAGCTTTAGTGCTGTGGACAGCCAAAGGGGAAGAGAGAAAACTGGAAGAGGTCCTGCCCTACCGTAAACCTGAAAAACCTACTGTGGGCGGGTATTATGGAAATGTGAACATACACATCTTGCAAATTGAAGGCAGCATACCAGTCCCTTTCCTCCACGGAAGGGATAATGGAGGCCAGTGTAACCATCCTGAATCTTGCCTTTGTTACGAAGGCGTTGAGAACTCTTAGGTCCAAGATAGGTCTGAGGCCTCCCTTCGATTTCAGGCTAAGGAAGTAACAGGAATAGAAACCCTTTCCCTTGAAATCTTGAGAAACCTTTTCCGCTACCCCCACTGTAGATGTGAAGGCACCTCTTGGCTCAAAAGATATTCATAAGAAGGGTCTCTAAAGAGGGATGGGGATGGGGAGGAATGGAAGGGGATAGCATGCCCCACTGCCATCAGGGTCAGAACCCAACGGTTGGTTGTAATTTGGGCCCCGGCCTGGTAAAAACGGGAGAGCCTGACCCCAAAGGGTGGGGTCAAAATAGGAACTGGTACTCTGTCCTCGCGCATACCTTCAAAATGAAGACTTGGGCTGTTGAGGAGTGGGTGGCCCACTGCCCCTCTCCGAGTCAGAGCAGGACCTCCGCTTCCTATTTCGCCCATTGGCATTATTGTTGCCATTATTCCTGGGCCTCTGCCATGCCTGGTCTGACCTATACGCTTGGTAGAACGGCCTAACTTGAGGCCTAGGGTTATAGGTCCTCCTCTGTGGTGCAGGGGTATGATACCTAGGGACCTGAGGGTGGCCCTGGAGTCTTTTAAATTATGTAGCTTGGCATCTGTCTGTTGTGAAAACAGACCTGCCCCCTCAAACGAAGTCCTGCAGTGTATTCTGTACCTCCGGAGGTACCTCTGTACCCTATCACCTGTAACCAGCTCTCGGGATCAGCGCAATGTCCTTCTCACACGTACAATGACTAGCACTGATGACTGCTGGACAGATCACCGCTTCATCCAATCCACAATGGCAATTAGGATTGTTATCAAACAGAGAACTCAGAAGAAAATGATCCAACGAAAAAATCAATGAACCAGGCTCGAAGGACCCCACCAGACAAAGTCACTTCCAGATAGCGTTCCAAAGGAAGCTGGCGACAGTATACCCTGAAGACATGGAAGGGAATTGGTGTCAATTGAAAAATGCCATCATTGCAGCTTGTGGAGAAACCACTGGCTACCAGTCAAGGAAGAATCAGGACTGGTTTGATGAGAATGATGGGGAAATTGAATATCTGATTGAAATAAAAAAGAAAGCCTTCAGGGCCTGGCAAAGTGACATCAACTGCACAACGAAGAGAAAAGCGCATGCCTAGGCCAAGGCAGAAGTCCAATGCAAAACAAGGACTCTGAAAAATCAATGGTCGACTGAGAAGGCATGAGAGCTCCAGCAGCTCACAGATATCAATGATACGAGAGGTTTCTTCAATGCCACCAAAGCTGTTTATGTACTGAGAAACCATGGAATTAATCCCCTGAGATCACAGGACGGTACCCAACTCTTCAAAGACAAGGAAGCCATTGCTTCTTGCTGGAGGGAGCACTTTTATGAACTCCTGAACCGCCCTTCCACCATAGTCCCAGAATCCCTTGACCGAATCCCTCAGCAACTGCCTACGGATGATCTTGCAATACTTCCTATCCTAAATGAGGTCCAAGCTGCCATTAAAGCAATGAAGAACAAGGCAACTGGACTAGTTGGACTCCCCGCCGAAGTCTTCAAAGAAGGCAGGCCAGAGCTCCACAAACAACTCCATTTCCTGATTCTCAAGATCTGGAAGAGGCAGCAGATACCGCAAGAGTTCAGAGACACGCTGATCGTCAGTTTCTTCAAGAAAGGTGACAAATTGGACTGTGGAAATTATCACGGCATCTCCCTCTTGGCAATGGCAGAGAAAATCTTAGCTCAAATCCCTGTCAATTGACTCCTGCCACACACAAAAGAAATTCTTCCAGAGTCCCAGTGTGGCTTCCGACCATTCTGAAGAATAGTGGACATGATCTTCACTGCTTGGCAACTGCAAGAAAAAGATCGCAAACAAAATCAAGCCTTATACATGAGTTTCATCGACCTGACCAAGACATTCAATTCAATCAATCAATCATAGCGCACTGTGGTCCATTCTCTCAAAGATTGGTTGCCCCAAAAAATTAATCAGCATCCTGAGACCTCTTCACGACAGTATGACTACCACAGTGTTGAGTAACAACGGGTCCTGAAGTGACCCCTTTGAGGTCAAAACAGGAGTCAAATAAAGGC